CTCGTCCATCACATAGAGCGGTGTCGGCTTGAAGTGGTGCAGAGCAAACACGAGAGCAAGGCTGGATAGGGTCTTCTCGCCGCCCGACAAGTTTGCGATGCTCTTCCAGGTCTTCTTTGGTGGACGAACGCTGAAAACGATACCCTCGGAGAAGGGATCCAGGGAGTCAATGAGCTCCAACTCGGCGTCGCCACCTGCAGTAAAGGAAAGGAGGGGGGAAACGAACAGACACTTTGAGGTAAGAGAAGATGCAGCATAAAATTATGAGATTACATACAGCACAGGAGTTTTGACAAAGCCGGTCATCTATCTCAGCATATTTGACGGTTATATGCATTAAATTTAAAGAGCTATTAAAATTTACGCAAAAATGTGCAAGTTAAAAGAGACATGCTACTATGAAATAGGGAGTAACCTTTTACGTGGACACATTATTTTGGTAACTGGGATTTAAGCAGTCATTTCGAAGGCTCAGGGATAAAATATATAAAATAATGGGAGAACACACGCATTGTTGGCAGTCGCCCAACTAGAAAAGGCCGTGAATTCCTGGAAGCAATGCACTCAGACGAGGCATGCATCAACAGGTATATTGATTTGGACGCTAGCTACGGTTACCTCAAAGTTAAACTGAACGCGCGCCACCAAAACACAACAGACAGCCAAATTACGGAAGACACATAGCACCTACAAGCACAGATCAAAAATCCTACCAATCGGTGCACACGTCGGAGGAATATTGATTTTCCGAACGTTTAAACATGTTAGTTGTTTGTTGCCCAATTTTTCCACGTCTGACGACGACCGGTTGGTCCGTGTCGAAAATTCACGAAATAAAATTGGACATTTCCCAAAGAAAGTCTTATTCTCATAATTAATATCTTGGAATGCAAATATTTCAATACCGTCATCTGTACGTATCAGCATAGGTACCATACCATTAGCAAGCACCTCCTTTATAGTCGACACAGAAACAACCTTCTAAGTAGTTTTTAGACAGTGATACAGTGAAGAATGGGAGGAGGGATCTTGGGGATTTTTAATACAGGCGGACCCCCAACAACCACTCAGATTGGTTGTTCGGGGTTGTATTCTCTAGCACTTTGGCTCAAGAACCTAATCACAAGGCAGCCCTGGCAAGCAAACCTATTAAATGGCTGTGTACGGCCGTCAAGTCACAGTGGCGTCATTGAGACTTGCGGCAAGTTATAAGGCAATCAGCGCGCCAGACATCAGCCCTTCGCGCCCTGGTAGCATTGTCGTTGCTAGTCCGCGGCTGCTTATTCGCTAGAGCCATGAACCTGTTTATTTTGCAGTTAGCTTTCGCTGAAGGCCGTTTCACTATCCGCCATATGTGGACGCGTGTTTGCCGCGCCAGCCGCCTGTGCCCTCCCCCATCTCCGGTCTTCTTGACTTTTGTCTTGACATCGAGTACAGATGTGGGAGTGGTGAGAGAGTGGGGTAGATTCTGTGCGATTCAACTTTTACTATATTCCCGCGTCAAGTCATCGCACCGCCTTCAGCTTGCTTAAGCTCGTGGTGGACATCGTCGAAACCGACGGTCGAACCGTCGTGTGATGGTAGCAGAGAATGCAGTGCAGAACAGGTACAGTGAGGTTCGCCAGGAATAGTTGTTCCAATTTGATAAGGAGAAGTAAGAAGACGCAACAGACGGCAAACCCACCTTGAGTCAACAGTTGGTACATCTCCTTCAGGCGCGTGGTGATCACATTGAATCCCGCCATGAATTCAGACAGACGTGTCCCCTTGGCTTCCGCCTCCTGTCGCAATTGTTCGTTGCGCAGGTCAGTCACATGATCGAGTTCAGCTACCCGACTAAGGTAGAGGTCCACTTTGTTCCGGTACTGCTGTATGGCGGCCATGTTGGGCGACATGGATGCAATCTGTGCCTCCAGTTTCTTCAACTCCGCATCATTTATGTTCATTTCTGAAGGAGCGAGGAGGGAGGGGAAAACAGAGCACGCAAATAAAGAAAATCAAGGTAAGGCTTTCTTGTGAGGTTGCCTGACTGCAAAACTTCCTCAGCGCAACTTTTGTTACGGAAGTCATGGTTAAAGGTTTAATGCTTGATTAAGGTGTGTTTAATGCGTGATAAGTGTACAGTAGAAAACAAATAATAGCTGCTTGTAATTGTTTTACTGAACTAAAAATGTGAATGGCATGCGGAAATAAGAAAACGGACCAACTTAAACTCCTATTGGTCGGCAAGGATATCTATAGATAAATAACAATGGTAAAACTCTTATTTGTTAACATAATCAACGAAGTGTTTGGAAAGGCAAAAATTCAACCTTCTGAAATGTGGAAGCAGTTTTTTTAATTATTAATAACGAACAAAACCGGCCTCACAAGAAAGCCCTACCAAAACCAATAGTTACCCAAATATAAAAATGATTAAATATAGGTGAACTAGACGGTTCGAGAGAAGTTGCGCATGAAACGCTGCGAGCATGCAATGAGCAAACATGACCATTGCCGATGACGTTAAGCGCTGGCGGGAAATAAGGACCCTGAACGACCAGAAGGCGTGCAGTTACCCAACTCTGCGTGCAACATTCAACCCCTTGTGGCTGCTAGTACGTGCGAACGCACCAATATCTGTCTAACTCCAAGCCAGTCTGGCCAATCATCTTCAAGGCTGAAGGACTTCACTGTGACGACTGTCGCGCTCTCACATTCGGAACGCTGCTCTCTGGGCTGCGGTTGCGCGCTCGTCCAGCTGCTAATTTGTTCCATTGTGTTTTTCACTAGCTCTGTACAGAATATATATGGCGTCCCATTTCTTCTCTTCTCTACGGAACGGCGCCTGAAGATCGCAGCGGCAAGGATCCTACACAATAACTTCCCTTTCTTGTAAAACAATGAAAGTCCGCTATACTACAATTTGATGATAAAAAAACATAGAATTTTGAGCATAGTTTTTGGCGTAGACTTTCCTGTTTCTCAAGCTTGCTGACTTCCCTTGAGGTTCCGACTAGCACCTAAGCGAAGGGTTCGAGAGACCAAACAACCTGCAAAAAAGTCTACACAGACGGCAAACTAGGGCCGAAGAGACGGCTTCTGGACTTCAATGTGCACAAGAGTGCCATCCTCTACCTGCGCCCAAGTGACTGCCATCCAACCGACGGCATGAGGGCGTAGTACCTGAAAGGCACTTAAATTTCCATAAAATCTTCACAAAAGAACACTGATGCTTGGATACAGAGGAAACAAAAGGCATAATTGAAGTGCGTCGGGCCTGAAAGTAACGCCGTGGAGGAAGTACTGCACGCTATCAAAAGGTTACATTTCACAAACCTACCTGCCAGCTGTTCGTCGGTATATGTAGGCAGTTTCGTGTCCTTGGAGGATTCTAGAAAGGCCAGTGGGTCACGCTGGGAGTTGTCCTTTGATTGGCTGCCAGCCTCAGGCGTCAG